GGGCTGTCTGCTTTGCTCTTTCCCTTCCTGGCTTAGCCACGGGGCCAGCTCCGCAGGGTGCAGAGCCTTGCTTTGGCAACACTGTCAGTGTGGATGTACCCATGATCTAGTCTTTGGGCTTTGGGACTGTGAGGAAGAGGAGGAGGCAGGTGGGTTCTAATAGTGGTCTTGTGTGGCATGTTGTGGGTCCTCTTGCCTCTCTGAGCCCAGCTCTCCTGTTTTCCTCCTGGTTGTATGTTCCTCTCGTGAGTTAGAAGCCAAGATGGTTCATAGCCACAGATCATCCTTTACATGTTTCCTCCCCTCATGTGTTCCTCAGATTGTTATTTGTTTAGTGGGATGTGAGGAGGCTCCACCCACAAGTTAATTCCGAAAGGTTCTTTCCCGAAAGGGAGGGGTGCAAGGTAAACCAGGCAGGCCAGTAGCAACACAGCTGTCTTAGGGTCAGATCAAATCTGCTGGGCCACTTCGGCTGGTGAGGGAAATTTCGTGTGTGTGTGTGTGTGTGTGTGTGTGTGTGTGTGTGTGTGTGTGTGTGTTTTCTCCTTTTTCTACAAGGTGTTGTACGTAGCCAGTATGGCATTTAGCCGTGGCAACCCTCCTCTTCAGCATCTCAAGTGCCTGGCCCTTGTGTTCTTAAGTAAATTTTTAAATATTCTTTTCCAGTAAAGCTGTTATGTTATAAAAAAGCATTCTTGAGCCTTTTGTGAAGGGATATTTTACCTTCTTCAGGCCCCTCCTCCCTGCAGTGTTCATACCTGCAGTCTGCTGGCCCCACAGTAGGGGGTCTTCTGGAATCTCCAGAAAGCCTGGCCTGAGCAGCAGAGTTACAGCTGACAGACACCAAGGTGACCTGGTGAGCACTGATAGCATAGTTCCCGTCTAGGCTCCCAGCAGGCCTGCCCACGCCTCACCTCTCTGCCCTTTCTTTCTGGCCCATTTTCTTCCACACAGCATGAACTTCTAGTCTCTCCCTCGCTGGCCATCTGTGTCTCCTGTCGCTGCCTCCCCAGCACTCAGCCTGCACTTGGAAGGTTACATCAGTGTGACTTGTCCCTGTCCTTTACAGACCTTCATAAGAGCTGCACTCTGGGGAGCCTGAATAAGACTGAACTGAACAGTGTGCACTGCACCCAGTCGATTACAAGCACAGTCAGCGCTTTGTTACTACAAAGGCCGTTATGTAATGTGTTCATGTAGAACCATTGGGAAGTGCAGGTGCTGAAGTTAGGAAAATGCCCCATGATGGCCTAGATTCCACCAGCCTACTGTAGGCATCACCAGATTTTAAAGTTTCCACCCCTTTTTATTTATATATTGAGCTTATCCCAGCTACCTCCCACCCTCCTTTTCAACCCTTCTGTGAGTCCCCTTATCCTAGACAGTTCAATACTTCTGTGGATCACCAGGCTTAGCACAATAGTTTATATTCATAATATTTTTAGACAAAATGAGGTCCTGTATATAGAATTTTTAAAGAATATTGTATGTCCTGGTTGGTTTTTGTTTTTGTTGTTGGTTTGTTTGTTTGTTTTTGTCAACTGAACACAAACTAGAGTTACATGGGAAGAGGGGTCTTGAGAATGCCTCCATCGGACTGGCCTGTAGGTAAGCCTGTTGCTGCTTTTTCTTGATTAGTAATTGATGTTAGAGGGAGAGTTCAGCTCACTGTGGTCAGTGCCACCCCTGGGCAGTATAAGAAGGTGAGCTGAGCAAGCCAGTCAGCAGTGTTCCTGCCTTGAGTTCCTGCCCTCAGTGGAACTCAGTGATGGACTGCGGCCTGAGAATTGAAAGCTGAAATACACCCTTTCTTCCTCATACATCACGGTGTTCATTTTAGTAGAAACCCTAAAAAACATTGTGATAAAGTGAATCTAATATAGCTTAAGCTTTGCCAGGGCGCCCATGTTACAGTTCTGTGGCCTTGGTACATTTGCACTTATGTAAGCAATCTCCAGAGTTCTGCCTGTGAGACAAAAATGCTGTGCTGAACTCCAGTCTCTCCCCGCCCCCCCCCCTTAACTGCCAGCAGTCCCTCTGCTTTCTGCCTCTGTGAATTTAACTGTTCAAAGTACCTCCTCACATGTATCTGTTGTGATGGCTTATTTCACTTAGCACAGTGTCCTTAAGGCTCGTTCATGTAGTTTTGAGTTGGAAATGTTTTCCTTTGTAAGGCTGAATAATATTCTATTATATGTACATACTACTTTTGTAGGTTTTGTGCATGGATTATTATTATTATTATTATTATTATTATTATTATTATTATTATTATTCTTTCTTTGTCTTGGGGGTTTTTGTTGTTTGTTACTGTTTGCTTTTGATTTTTCAAGACAGGGTTTCTCTGTAACAGCTCTTGCTGTTCTGGAACTCTCTTTGTAGATCAAGCTGGCCTTAAACTCACAGAGATCCACCTGGAGTGCTGGGATCAAAGGCATGCACCACCACACCCAACTTTTGTTTTTTTGAGACAGTCTCACCGTGTGGCCCCAGCTGACCTGGAACTTGCTATGTAGACCAGGCTGACCTTGAACTCACAGAGATCAGCCTGCCTCTGCTTTCTGAGTACTGGGTTTAAAGATGTGAGCCACCATGTCTGGCTATATGCTGTTTTATAATCTGTAGGCAGAGTTTTCCTGTTCTGACCACCTGCTCCCGGATAACTGACTCAGAGACTTAATATAAATTATAAATGCTTGGCCAATAGCTCAGGTTTGTTACTAACTAGCTCTTACAAGTTTTCCTATTTCTGTTCATTTATGTACTGCCCTGAGGCTCGTGGCTTTTACCTCTATCCCATTTTGTGTATCCGACTCATTTTCCATCTGGCTGTCAACTCCTCTGACTCTGCCCTTCCTCATCCCATCATTCTCAGTTTGGCTTTCCTCGCTTAACTTTCTAGCTGTTAGCCAGTCAGTTTGTTTATTAAACCAATCATAGTGACATATATTCACACAGTAAGTATACAAAAGGATTATTTCACAGCAATAATCTGTTCTTTTCAGCTGTGTTCAATTTATTGTGTTTTTACATACTCTTTATTTGGGGCTTGAGGGATGGGTCACATGGACCCCCCATGTAGCCAAGGGTGACCTTGAACTGCTCCACCTCCAGAGTGCTGACATTACAGGCAGCAAGTACTGTCACTTGCAGTGATGCTCCTCATGCCAGCTGGTGAACACACTGCCAGCTGGGTGACATCACCAGTCCCAGTAAATGTTCATTTTACCGGCTAGTATGGACTGTGGCCTAGTCCATACTCAAGACTTCAGTGCGTTGCCTCAAACGTCTTTTACATCTTTTATCATTTGAAGCCAGATGATGACCAGATGTGAATGCTGCACCTGGTTACTAACCATCCCCTGTGTTCTACCTGCTTGTCTAGCCACCCCCCACCCCCATCTCTGTCTGTCTTTAAAAGTTTGTTGAGGTGTAACTTATAAAAACTTGTTAGAAGTGTCAAAGGTTGGTCTTTAAGTGTGGTCAGCAGTTAATTTTGAATATATACGCCACCATCCCAGATCTATCCCTTGTGCCCAGTGCACACTCTGGCTCCCCTTTTCTTTTTACTTTTATTTATATGTGTATATTATATGATTTGCCTACATGTATGACTGCACCATATGCATGCAGTACCTGAGGAAGCCAGAAGAGAGTGTCAGGTCTCCCTGGAACTGGAATTACAGGTGGTTAGCTGCCATGTAGGTATTGGGTGGGAATCAGACCCAAGTCCTCTGGAAGAGCTCTTAACCATTGAGCCGTCTCTCTAGACCAGTGGTTCTCAACTTTCCTATTCTTGCAACCCTTTAATACAGTTCTTCATGGTGTGGTGACCCCCGACCATTAAATTATTTTGTTGCTACTTCATAACTGTAATTTTGCTACTGTTATGAATCGTAATGTAAGTATCAGGTATATAGGATATCTGATAATGTGACCCCCAAAGGGGTTGAGACCTGCAGTTTAAGAACTACTCACTACTCTATACCTTTTTAGTTTTTTGAGACAGGGTTGATCAGGCTGGCCTTGAACTCACAGAGATCCACCTGTCTGCCTCCCGAATGGCGTGTGCCACCCAGCTGACCAGGTCTATTTTCTTTTAAGTCAAAATCTCCTGTGTAAGCTGGCTTCAGATTTGTTATGTTGCTAAAGATGACCTTGAATTTCTAATCCTCCTGGCTCTTCTGAGTGCTGGGACTATAGGCATGTACCACCACATCTGGTTTATTCTGTGCAGGGAATGGAACTCATGGCTTAGCACGTGCTAGGCAAGCACCCTACAACAGAGCTAAATCCCCAGCCTCCTGAGAGTGATAGGATTTCAGACTGGGCCACCGTGCCCAGCATCACTTGTGTCTTTCGATGCCACACTCTCTTGGGGCTCTTGCAGCAACCCGGTGAAGCAGTAGCTGGTGTCTTCACTTACAGGTGAAACAGCATTAGGGAGAGGGCGTTGTGACTTGGCCTGAGCCCAAGACTTTCTACACCGGTCGGTCATGTGGGTTTTCCCAGTTATGAAACTCATATCTTACATACTTAACATAAATCAAGAGCTTATCCACATTGAAGGGTTTGGAAAAATATTTTCTGTTTATGAATGTTTACTTGCATGTATGTGTGTGTACCACATGCATGAAATGACCAGAGAGACCGAAGGAGGGCATCAGATCCCCCTGAGACTGGAGTTTCACATGGTTGTTAGCTGAGATGGGTGCTGGGAACAGGCTGGATCCTCTGCAAAAGCAGAAAGTACTCGTAACCGCTGAATCATCTCTCCATCCCCCACATAGAAATTTTTGAGGTCATTTTTCTTCTAAAAAGCTAGTCTTGGGTCACTGTGATGCATGTACAATCACTTTGTTTAGAATCAAGGAAAGTGAGGAGGGCAGTGTGGGTGGGGCTGGCGTATCGGTGCTGGAGAGTGCTGCTTGGCATGTCGGTGCTGGAGAGTGCTGCTTTCCCGGCGGGACTCAGCTCTTCTGTGCTTGTCTCCTCCTCAGGTATTTTATGCATGGTGTGTGTCGCGAAGGCAGCCAGTGCCTGTTCTCCCATGACTTGGCGAACAGCAAGCCCTCCACCATCTGCAAGTACTACCAGAAGGGCTACTGCGCCTATGGTGCACGCTGCAGGCAAGGCTGCCACAGCTGTGGCTACTGGAGTGAAGCTGTGTGTGGAGAGTGGGGCTGTGTTTGGTCTTATGGACAGTTTTATACCACCCAGGATGACTTCAGACTTGCTATGTAGCCAGGGCTGGCTTTGAACTTCGGGTCTCTTGCCTCCACCCCCGGGGGTAGGAACCCAGGTGTATGCCATATGCCTGCCTGAGCCTGGGTATTGATGAGGGGAAATTTTAAACCAAATTGTACTTAGAATATTAATAATTTGTGTCTTGCTTTTAAACCCCGTATAACACACCCTAGACTTTCCCGCTGCCACCAGCCCACCCTCTCATCGTGGTTTTTTTATGTCACGAGGTGGTATGCTATTTATTTTAAAGCCATTTCCAGTTCATGCTTGAGTGGCTTCTGGCATGGAGGCTCATGGCATTTGTGCACACACAACCCTGTTGCACCAGGCTGGACAACGGTGTGAGATGCTCCACGCTTTGGAGAGCAGAGCCTATCTAGTCCTCGATGTCCGGCAGAGCTCTAGAGTTTGAGTCAGCCACCTGCTCTTTCCCAACCCACCCACCCACCCACCCGTATCTGTGCGTCCTGGAGAGTTCTTCCCAAAGGGCCTGCTGGTGGCACAGATGTTCTGGGCAGTGGATGGGTTCCTGTCAGTCCTACTGGGACACTTAGGGGTGGGGATAGTAGCAGGTTCCATGGCCCATCGCCTTTTCTAGTTGAGAGTACAGAGACAGCAGACCCTTCCCCACCTCGAGGAGTCCAGCTGTTGGTGGCTGGGGGGGGGGGGCAGTGCTGGGCCCGCATGACCAAGATACATTGTCATGTTTTGTTCAGATATGATCATACAAAGCCCCCGGCTGCAGCAGGTGGAGCTGTGGGCCCTGCACCCCACTCTTTGCCCTCCTCAAGCTTGCCCAGTCCTCACCCTTCTCCTGACATCGCCACATCTGTTAGGAGGACGCATTTGCACGAACCGGGGAAGCGGGAGAAGAAGACACTGGTGCTCAGAGACCGCAGTGAGTGACCACAGCCCTTCATACCGCGGGGGAGCGGGGGAGCGGCATGTGTGGCTTAGTGCCTCTTTCAGGCCTCCTCAGGAAGCTCCTGGGGTGTCAGGTGTTGATCTGAAAACAGGCTGCAGAGGTTCAGGGGTGCATCTCCACAGCTGGATGTCAGAGTGGTCTTTTGTCACCATGAAGTTGCCTCATCACCACTGATGAGAAGCTGCAGGCTATTCATTTTGAACCTGGGTGGGATTTTTTTTTTTTTTATTTTGTCGTTTGTTTTTGGTTTTTTGAGATAGAGTGTTTCTGTGTGGCCCTGGGTGTCCTGGATCTCTCTCTGTAGACCAGGCTGGCCTCGAACTCACAGAGATCCGCCTGGCTCTGCCTCCCGAGTGCTGGGATTAAAGGTGTGCACCACCACTGCCAGGCTGAAGCTGAGTATTTTTTTTTAATGTTTTATAAAATCTTTATTGACAAATAATTCACATAGTATACAATTTGCCTGTTTGCACAATTAGATAGACTTTAGTCCAGCATCCTC